AAAGACCTTCTGAAAATTCAAATCGATTATATTCACTAGCAGTCCTTTGTCTACCTTGTTCTTTACCTCTTCAAGAAATTCTATTAAAATTGTCAGGCATGACATCCCTTTAATGAAACCCTACTGATTTAGTCCTATTTTACTATATGCTTCCAAGTACTCTGCAATCTTGTACTCAAAACTGAACTCTAAATTCTTACCAAGAACTGATGTTGAGCTAGCCAGCCTATAATTGCCTATCATCTGCCTCCCTCCCTTAAATCAGTGTTGTTACATGAGCCATTTTCCAGTCCTCTGGGACCCTCCAGCAATTCCTGAAAAATCACCTCTAGTCCTTCCCCAGTCTCCACAGCTATCTCCTTCAGAACCCTGGGGCGTAGTCCAAGCAGTCTGGGTGATTTATCTACTTCATATCTTACAGCTTGCCCAGCACCTTGTCCTTTAGTGGCAGCCACGACAGTCACCTCTGCCCCCTGACTCTCTTGAAGTTCTGGTATACTACTGGTATCTCACACCATGAAGACTCTTGCACATTACCTATTAAGTACCCCCGCCATTTCTTTGTTCCCTTTTACTACCAGCAGTCCAAAGTCCACTCTTGTCTCTCTCTTACCTTTTTACATATCTAAAATCAGTCCCACTGTTTTTTTTTAACAGAAGTCTTGGAAAAGCCAGCAGTTGTGAAATTAAGGGTAAAGTAACAAAGATACAACGAATTATTAAAAGGCCTGAAACAACATATTCTCAGAATTTAGCAATCAGTGTAGCTTTGCCACTGCCATCAACATTGAGCTATAATTAGGAGTAAAGGACAGTTTGCATGTTTGGAAGTGGGCTGCAGTGTTCTACCAAATGTTGTTCTGGGACTGGCTCTGTTCACACTGTGCAGCAGAAGTTTGGATATAGGACTCGGGAGCTGTGTTCAAATGGTCGGTTAGATGCCACGTATGTCCTGTACACAAAAAGCAGGACAAATCCAATCCACCTATCAGTCTACTCGCAGTCATCAAAAAAATGATGGAAGGTGTCAACAACAGTGCTACTAAGCAGCACTTGCTTAGGGATAACCTGCTCACTGGTGCCTAGTTTGGGTTCTGTCAGTGCCACTCAGCATCTAACCTTGGTTCAAACCTTGGTTCAACCATAGGCAAAAGAGAACAATTCCAGAGGTGAGATGACAATAGCATTAAGGCTGCATTTGACCAAGTGTGGCATCAAGGAGCACCAGCAAAACTAGAATCAGTGGAAATCAGGGAAAGTGTTTTGCTGGACAGAGTAATACCTGACATAAAGGAAGTTGGTTGTGGTTGTTGGTGGTCAGTCATCTCCATTACAAGACATTTTTGCCGGAGTTCCTTAGGGTAGCATCCTGGGCCCAATCATCCTCCACTATTTTATCAATGACCTCTCCATCATAAAGTCAGCAGGCGGAACGTATGCTGATAATTACACAATGTTTATCACAATTCACAAGTCCTCAGATACTGAAGCAGTCCATATCCAAATACAGCAAAACTTGGATAATATCCAGGCTTGGGCTGAAAAGTGGCAAGTAACAATCACACCGCATAAATGCCAGGCGGTGACCATCTCCAATAGGACAGAATCTAGTTATCGTCCCTTGATATTTGGTGGTGGTACCATAATCCCTACCGTAAACATCATGGAGGTTAACGTTGACTGTACGCTGAACTGGACTAGTCATATAAACACAGTTGCTACAAGGGCATCTCAGAGGTTAGGAATCCTGCTGTGTGTCATTCCTGACTACCCAAAGCCTGTCCCCCATCTACAAGACACAAATAAGGAGTGTGTTGGCTTACTCCCCACTTGCCTGAATGGATGTAGCACTAACAACACTCAAGAGGCTTGATATCATCCAGGACAAAGCAACCAGTTTGATTGGCACCACATCCACAAAACTCCACTCCCTCCGTCACCAATGTTCAACAGCAGCAGTGTGTACCATCTACAAGATGTTCTGCAGAAATTCACCACAATTCCTTAGACATTATCTTTTAAACCAGCAACCACTTCCATCTGGAAGGTCAAGGACAACACATACAAAGGAACACCACCAGCTGAGGTTCCTCTCCAAGCCACTCATCATGCTGAGTTGGAAATATATTGTTTAGTATAATGGATCAAAATCATGGAACTCTCTCCCTAATGGTATTGTGGGTCTCCATACAGCACAAGCAACGGCAGTTTAAGAAAGCGGCTCACCACTACCATCTCAAAGGCAAGTAGAGATGGGCAATAAACATTGCCCCAGCTAGTGATGCCCATATTCCACAAACAAATTTAAACAAAAATCCCAGAAATTACTCGTGCCATTTGATATGATGTGCAGGTATCAAGGTAGACAAAATTTGAAGTTTTGATATTGTTCTGAGAGAAGAGGTAATAGGGTAATTTGGTCAAGGTGTTGACAATTATGACAGGCTTTGCTGAACTAAATTAAAACAAACTGCCAGCGCTAAAGCCATCTGTAATTGGTCACAGCCAGTGCGCAGAGAGATCTTTTCGAACAAGCTCACAAACGTGTAGAATGCATATTGGGGTGGTGATTGATGAAGCAAAAAGCACGCAATATTCGAGGAAGTTGGAAGGTGGTTGAAGGAACTGAAGATAAAAGAACGTAGGAACAGGACATTTTTATGAAATTTTGGCAACTGCTCTTGAACCTAAATCCGTGTATTTACGGGTGCTTCTGAATTGAAATTGTTATGTGAAGGTAAGTTATGATGTTTTAGAGTTTACCTCATTGCTTAATCAAATTTGAAATGCAATGTTTTCTCTTTTCTTTCGTGCAGCAGATCAGTCAGAATTTACATTGTTTGTATTTTCTTTTTTTTAAATCTTAGACTGCTACGTCTGTTCAGTTTTAATTTTGTTTTGCCTGGCTGTTCATTGAAATTACCAATTCTTGTGCTCTACGTTCCAGCTTTAAATTAAAGGCTAGATATTCTGGTGGGGGAGACAGCATTCTCTTGTGATTTTGATTGGAATCAGGGTCTGCAGTTATACGTGCAAACTAAATGATCAAGGTTTTAGCCTCCATGTAATTTCCCTATAAATTGTCCAATTGGGCTCACACTGGTGTGCATTGTCAAGTTTGAAGGTGTGCCTAAAGAGTTTCAGGAAGTTTTATTCAGGAAGTCCTCCTACATAGCAGAAGAGGTGAAGGTTCTTTTTGGGTTCCTAGAATATTCCAAAGTACTAAAGGACCAGAAATTGAAAGCCTCAAGAATACTAGCCCTTGATTGTATGCAGGGAATGTATTTGTATTTTTATTTTAATTGTCAGTTTTAGGACCTCGCATGTCTTCTCCACCCTGTTTCATCCCTGAGACAAAACCTTTTGTATCAGAACAAGTGTAGGTTTTCTGTCCGACATATTTAAATGGCACCATCCCTGGGGTTCAGAATGGTGACAGTGGCTCACCCCTTCCACAATCCGTTTGCTAATCTTTGATTGCATTTTTGACAGAGATCAATTTCAATCATTGTAAATTGTAAGTTGAAGCTGCATTGATCTGTGTAGTATTGTTTAAATTGCTGAAAGTAAATTACTGTTGCAAGTTTGAATACTTCTTACAGAACAGCTTTTAGTTAGTATTTCTGAGGTCAAACATTTGTAATTTGTAATGATAATTTACTGATTTATGTAGGTTATTTTTGCCTGGCTGGGATTTCAAATGTCTCAGGCAATAGCTTAATATCCCATAATCTCAATGAGCCTCAAAACTTTCCAGACCTGTTCGAAGCAATTATCTTTGTCTCATGCAGAGTTCGTCTGAAACTCACGAAAATGTTCCTTGTTGGGGATATTATGGAGCATTCAAGAGGGAAGATCTTTTATAAACAGAGGAAACTCTTTAAAATATGGGTCAAATTGTTGTATGTAATAGTTTTTATAAATGTCATTCTGCCTTATTTTACCTCCCCCTTTCCCTAAAGAAAATTATGATTAGAAGCTGGCCATTGTTTATTACATTAAATAGGCGATCTATTGCAATACTAAGCCATGCGGAAGAAAAGTTACAGAAACTTTCTCCTGTTTGTAGCTCAGTCATTGAGACAATGGGTTTGAGGTTGGGAAGAGGATGAATACAAGATTTTTTTGGTGATTTAAGCCAATTTCAGGACTTCACATAAGGCAGTGATAGAAAGAAAGTCAGCAATAAAGCAAAGTACAGGGATAAAAACCATAGATACAGATTACATACAGAGGACAAAGTATAATGAGTATAATGACTTAATTGTAAGTCCATTGTACTTGGCTAAGCCTAAATAGTCTGAGGGAAGAGATAAATCATCCTTGTCTAACTGTGTTTGTGTGGTCATGGGTTCCGGCAGGGTTTTGACATTGACTTGAATGCAACTTACTGGACGTGTTATTGAAAATCACTGCCTATGAAACTGCAAAAAACATTAGTCAACATGATCCTTGGAAGGCAAAAAATGGGAAGAGTGAAAAGACTGCAAGGTCTCAACAAAATATTTCCTAATTTTAGCCAATAGTTTGGATTTTTCGATCAGTTTTGCCTGTAGTAATGGAGAAATGCAAGCATTAAGAGTATGTCACTTGAAAATCCACCGTAAAGTTTAAGATCCTGCAAACATATCAACTGAAGGCATATTTGATTGCTAGTAAATAGTGGAAATAGTGGCATTGCTAGTACCACCCAGATTTATCTTCAGTGTGATTTAGATTGATCTCTGATTTTAGTCAGATGAATAAGGAGGTATTGGGATGGTTGGTTAGCCGCAGAAGGGGCAAGAAAATCTCGATGTAGATTGGCACTGTCCAAATGGAAAGAGGTCTTTTATGTTTTGGTGACAAGGAAGAACACTTGAAATGGAGGAAATAAAATTTCAATGATATCTTTAAGTTTTTGTGAAAGCCTAGAATAAAGTTTTGCAATATGATTCAATTTAATAGGCAAATGATTTATTCCTATTAAGGTGACTAATTTAACTGTTATTATGTTGCAGGCATGGACTAAAAGACACATACCATTGGTAAGCAAGTACAGTTTTTAAATTGAATACTCATTATACTTTGTCCTCTGTATGTAATCTGTATCTATGGTTTTTATCCCTGTACTTTGCTTTATTGCTGACTTTCTTTGTATCACTGCCTTGTGTGAAGTCCTGAAATTGGCTTAAATCTTCAGACTTTAATCACCAAAAAAATCTTGTATTCATCCTCTTCCCAACCTCAAACCCATTGTCTGTGGAAGTAAAGCTCTTCCATAACTAGATTAACTTGCTGTCAAATTCCAAACCCATTCCCCTTCAGCGTTTTTTAAAGTTCAGTTAGGATTTGGGTGATGCTGACTGGGCAGCATTTATTGCCTGTCCTTCATTGCCCTTGAGAAGGTACAGATGAACTGCAGCAGTCCATTTGATGTAGGTGCGCCTGCAGGGCTGTTAGGGAGGAAGTTCCATGAGTTCTGAATCCCCGATCCAGGAACACTGAAGGAACACTGATATTTCCTGGTGGTTTGGAGGGATACTCCAAGGTGTTGGTGTTCTCAAGTACAGAGTCGTAGAGTTGATACAGCACAGAAACAGGCCCTTCAGTCCAACCAGTCCATGCCAAACATAATCCCAAACTAAACTAGTCTCACCTGCCTACTCCTGGACCATATACCTCCAAACCTTTCTTATTCATGTACTTATCTAAGTGGGTTTTAAATGTTGTAATTGTGCCCGCATCCATCACTTCCTCAGGAAGTTCATTCCACATGCGAACTACCCTCTGTAAAAAAAAAAAAAAAAAAAAAAAGCCCCGATGTTCTTTTTAAATGTGCCCCCCAGTCTTGAAATCCCCCATCCTAGGGAAGAGACACCTACCATGAACCCTATCTATACACCTCACGATTTTATAAACTTCTGTAAGGTCAACTGTCAACCTCTTACGCTCCAATGAAAAATGTCCCAGCCTCTCTTTATGACTGAAATCTTCCAGACCCTGCAACATCCAGGTAAATCACTTCTGGACTTCCTCCAGTTTAATAATATCCTTCCTATAACTGGGCAACCCGAACTGGATGCAGTACTCCAAAAGAGTCCTGTACACCCTCAGCATGATGTCCCAACTCCTATACTCAAAGGACTGAGCAATGAAGGCAAGTGTGCTAAACGCTTTTTTAACCAACCTGTCTATATGTGACACAAACATCTAAGAATGATGCACCTGAACCCCTAGGTCCCTCTGCTCCACAACACTTCCCAAGAACCTACCCCTGTTTGTTGTACCAAAATGCAATACCTTGCATTTATCCAGATTGAACTCCATCTGCCATTTTTCAGCCCATTGACCCATTTCCCTTGTCCTTAATGCTCAACATGGAGGAGTGATGAATCATCAGCTGAGTGGGCAATAAATGATAATCCGCAGGATGTTTCCTGCCCATGTTTGACCTGATGCCATGAGACTTTGTTGTCTGGAGTCAACAGTGAGGACTCTCAGTGCAACTCCTTCCAACTGTATACCATCATGCCACACCTCTTCAAACAATGGTAACGGTGTTATCTAGGACATTGTACGTAAGGTATGATTCTGTGAGTATGACTGTCAGGCTGTTGTTTGACTAGTCCGTGAGAGAGAGCTCTCAATTTGGTCATGGTTTTAAAACAAATTGGGCCCCAGATGTCAGTTACAAGGGTAACAGGATTGAGATTTTTTTAATTCATTCAGGGGATAAGGGCATTGCTGGCTAGGGTAGGCTAGCATTTATTGCCCAGAGGGCAGTTAAGAGTCTGCTATGAGTCTGGAGTCACATGTAAACCAAACCAGCTAAGGATGGCAGCTTCCTTCCCAAAAGGACATCAGTAAATTAGATGGGTTTTTTTGACAATTGAAAATAGATTTATGGTCGTCATTGGACTCCTAATTCCAGAATTTTATTGAATTCAAATTCCACCATCTGCCATGGCAGGATTTGAAGCCAGGTCCTGAGAACATTACCCTGGTCTCTGGATTAACAGTCCAACAATAATACCACTAGGCCATCACCAGTGTTGTTTCCAGTGCCTATATTGATGGCAGGTGGTACATCCAACTTAATTCCTTTTTGAGACTTTTTAGCCCATAGATGTGAGTGAATGGCTTGCTAGGCCATTTTGTAGGATAGTTGAGAATCAACCACATTGCTGTGGGTTTGGAGTTGCATAGCGGTCAGACCAAGTAAGGATGGTAGATTTTCTTCCCTAAAGAGCTTTAGTGAACAAGATGGATTTTTACAAGAGTTGAGAATGGTTTCAATGTCATTTTAAGACTTTAATTCACGAATTTTTAAATTCAAATTTGACCTGCTGTAAAATGGGATTTGTACCTTAGTACCCAGAGCATTACCTGAGTCTCTGAATTACTAGTCCAGTGACAGTAACACAACATCATCAGCTCCCCCAAAGATCCAGCCATCACAACACCACTGAGATCTATGAAATTTAATATGTATTAAAATAACCTAATATATTTCATCCCTGTAAATTGCTCTCCATCTACCATCCATATTTTTCAATTCCGCTCTGTTGTAAACACCAAATCCTGCTCTTCTAAGTCAGAGGGTTGAAAACCCAGCAGCACCTAGTGCATAGCTGGTTCAGTAATTCACTTATAAATCTGGCTCAGCCATGTCAAGCATCACCATGCCTTGACCATCTCATTGAAATTATCCCACTATATCATGGAAGCACAGCCATCCTTTTCGTCAAAGGCATCTTTTCTCCATGACATTTCCCCCCACAAACCTATTTCCTCCATTCTCTACTTGTTAGTACCCTCACTGATTTTTAATTATTATTCTTTTATCAGTTTTGGTTTGGAGTTGGGAACTGGGAATTATGAGCTGGAAATGATTTGTGGGCTTTGGGACACCTTGTAGTCAAACGAGAAGAACAGGCCATACAAGCTTCATTTGACTATGAGGCCAGTTCTGGAGGTTAATTGAAGGTTGATTCTTGATTAAAACGATTCTGACAGTTATAGCAACCCCAGGAAGAAGTTTGTTATTAAACAGACAGCAGAAGTTGGCTATTAACAAAGTCAATCCTGAGAATTGGTTCCAGCAGGTCTGGAAGGGTTCCTAGGAGATAGCAAGGACTGCAGGTGCTGAAGTCAGAATCAATACAGTATGGAGCTGGAGGAAAACAGCAGGTCAGACAGCATCAGAGGAGCAGGAGAGTCGACGTTTCAGGTTGGGACCCTTCATCACCCTTCCTGTGTTAAAGTGGCTGCCAGTTCTTGAATGGTAATTGAAGCCTTGAGAAGAGATGATCAAAATCTCCGGGTGGAACCAGAATTGAGGTTTCTTTTGAAGTATGTTTTTTGAGAGATAAGCTTGGCTGCTGACAAAACAGCATAAATATTTGAAAGCTCCATGCCTAATCTGGCTACACCATTTTTTGGAAGTCCAAAAACCTAGAGATCACCCCACCAACCTCCGCATCCAACTTATCATTCTCCACCACTTCCGCGACCTACATTCCGACCCCACAACCAAAGATATATTTCCTTCCCCACCCCTATCTGCCTTTCATAGTGACCACTCTCTCCACAACTCACTCATCCACTCCACACTCCCCAGTAACCCCATCATCCCCGGCACCTTTCCCTGCAACCGCAGGAAGTGCTACAGCTGCCCGTACACCTCCCCCCTCACCTCCATTCAAGGCACAAAACAAACCTTCCATACCAAACAGGGGTTCACCTGTAGATCCGTTAACTTGGTCTACTGTATCCGCTGCTCCCAATATGGCCTCCTCTACATCGGTGAGACCAAGCATAGACTCGGAGACCGTTTCATAGAGTATCTGCGCTCTGTTCGCGATGAATGGCAACACCTTCCAGTTGCCAACCATTTTAACTCCCCCTCCCAGTGCATCATGTCCATCCTGGGCCGCCTCCAGTGTCACAATGACGCCACCCACAAACTGGAGGAGCAACACCCCATATTCCGCCTCAGGAGCCTACAGCCTGATGGCCTTAACATGGAATTCACCAGTTTTAAAATCTCCCCACCCCAGCCTCATCCCGTGTCCAAGCCTCCCTGTCATTCCCACCTCCTTGACCTGACACAACCTGTCCATCTCTCTACAACCTACCTGCCCCTCCCACTTCACTGATCAATCCCCACCACTCCCTACCTGCATTCACCTATCACCATCCCACCTACCTTCCCCAGCCCCACGCCTCCTCTCTCTCTTTACTTCCCAGCTCCCTTCCCCCTCCCCATTTCTAAATAAATGTGAAGAAGGGTCTCGACCCGAAACGTCAACTTTCCTACTCCTCTGATGCTGCCTGGCCTGCTGTGCTTCTCCAGCTCCGTACTGTTGTCTCTGACTCCAGCATCGGCAGTTCTTGCTATCTCTGAGTGAATTAGAAGTATTGCTACCTTTGCTTGGGTGAACTAAGATGGTAACCCTGATCAACGTTGCAGAAAAGCAACCAAAGAAACACATTTATGCCTGTGAAACGGCGCATCATGTTAAACCATTTGAATAATCTGGCCAGTTCTGTTATTTTCTTTTATTTATTTCTTAACTGTTTGTTTGTCTGTCTTTTGTGTGAATAGGACTGAAAGCAAATGTTTTGGGTTTAAAGCGTAGATATTAGTCAGATAACCTTGTTTAATTTTTCCGTTGATAAGATTACAAACAGTTAAGCCTTCTGTTTGAGATGCAAAACCGGTATCTGGAATTAATTATTCACCAGTTCTGGGATTGATTATTCAAAGTCTGGTTAGGAACCATTGAAGTAATTATTGGGGGCTTTCAGCAATTTAGTTTTACTATGTAGGGAATACAGAGGTACAATGGCTGATTTGGTTCAGCCATCTGTCTACATGTCAACACTACTCCAATACCAAATGAGTTTCTTCACCTCTAAGATTGAGACTATCTCACCAGCTACTCTACATTACCATTTCCTCTCCGCTTTCCATCTATTTTAGCTTTGACTCCTCCATCATTTTGCAATTTGTCCCCTGTCTGTCTTCCTGAACAGTCTAACCCCTTCCATGAGAGTGACTCAGTTCATTTAGTCCTTTTTCCAACTGAAGCCTTGGCCATGTTGGTTGTCATTATTAACGTATTCTTTGCCAAGTCACTATTCTTTGCTTTTTTTTTAAGGCCTTGGCAAAGCTCCAAACTTTTACCATTGAGTTCTTCTCCTTCCAAAACTTGCTTAGGTTGTTTACATAAAATTTGGTGCCTATCCAACTGTCCACTGAGATTCAGCCCTCCAAAATTATCCATTATCAAGATTGCTTATTTCTACTTTTGCATCAAGTGGTACGTTGTCCATTTGCTTCATCTATCTCCAATACCCCATCCTTGCCTGCACCCCCTGCCCAATAAAGCACTGAGATTGTTTTCTGATTCGGGTCAATAGTGATTGCGTAGCTCTGCAATAAACGCTTAACCCACTCATTGTACAGCCAGTAGCTAAAGGCACGAGGTAGACAATCATTTACATCACGGTTTTTGAGCTACAGTTTGATCATTGTCTTCAGTGACTTCATTCCTCCATGTCTCTGAGCTCATTCTGCCCTACACCTCTCAGATATCTGTGCTTATCTAATGTGGCTCTCTTGAGCATTCCTGATTTTAATTGCTCAACCATTGACGATAGTGTATTCAGCTCTCTTAGCCCTAAATTTTGGAATTCCATCAAGCCTCTCTTCTCTTTCTATACACTCTTGAAAACACAGCTACTTGACCAAGCTTTTGGCCATCTGTATTAATATAGCCTTTTGTGAGTTGGTGGTAGAGTTTGTTTTGTAGCCCCATGAGAGGGTCAATTAGTTCAGTTAGCTGAATGGTTGGTTTGCGATGTAGAATAAGGCCAGTAACATGTGTTCAATTCCCACATTGGTTGAGATTACCAGTAAGAACTTCCCTTCTCAACTTCTCTTACCTGAGGTATGGTGGCCCTCAGGTTAAACCACTACCAGTCGTCTCTCTCTAATGAGAGAGCAGCCCAATGGTTCTGAGGCTATGGCAACTTTACCAATGGCACCACTCTAAAGCACCTTGGGGAGTTTCATTGTGTTAAAGATCCTGTATACATATAGCTTGTTACATTAAATTCATTTTGTAGTGGTATCTACTAATACAGTCACATTATAAAAAGAACAGTTTAAACCAGAGTTAAATAAATAGACACCTAAATAACCTGTTGTAAGAATATAAATACCTAAAACAAAGCGTTTTCTGTATATTGTTGACATGAGCACAATCCATTAAATGCAATCTTAATTAATTTACAGTACACTACAGCTGAATTGAAAAATGTATATAATGTTTTTAAACCATCTCATCTCTTATAGGTATGAGGAACTTCGCCAGTTTGGATCAGTGCCACACGGAGGATTTGGATTGGGATTCGAGCGATATTTGCAGTGTATCTTGGGTGTTGAGAACATTAAAGATGTTATTCCATTTCCAAGGTTTTCTCACTCTTGCCTTTTGTAGACCTGAGAGGAACAAATCATGTTTTATGATTAAAGATTCTATTTCAAGGAAAACTGAGCCTTGCAAAACTGGCAAATAGAAAATATTTTCTCGGACTGTACAGTAGATTAGTCACTCCTCAAATATTTACATATGAAATTGATGTGAGTTGTAATGAGAAAGATGGTGGGTGACCATGTGGCAGTAGTTATTGTATTTGCTTCTGATAAATCTTTCCAGGATACTTTTTTTATGTAATTAAGAGGATATATTAGAGTACCATTCTTCAACCTTTCTTCAGGTTTGGTAAATACCTTTGGCTAACAAGAAAAATTAATTTCTATTTTTCTTTCAGTGAGATCTGTGATTAAGTACATGTATTGTGTAATTCGGATCTTACTGTACTGGAATAAATGGTAATTGCAATGAGTTTTGTTTAAACAAACCATTTGGGTATATCTTTTGATATTGAGTTTATTATGCTATTTATCATGTTTTTGGGTTTCATGTATTCACTTGTACCATGGTACTTTTATACATATCAGATTTATTGCCAATATAAAATAAGAGTGCAGGTAGTGCTTGAAGCAAATCGGTTTTTCATTCCAAGCAAGAATAATGGAAGCCTAGTGTTTATTGGATTAAGATTTATCATTTTGGAAATGACAGTCATGTATGATGGTGTATCAAGATGCTTCCAAGACACACACAGATGTCTGAGTTATGACAAGAATTGGTGGAAGTGACATAAAACATCATCCAAAGTATAATATTTGAAGAGGCTTTTCAAAGAAGGAGAAGGAACAAGATGAAGGAATAAACAGTCAGTGAATTGGGTTAAAGAAGGTTGCAGAGTCAAGAGCAACTGAGCATAAAGATTTTTAAAAGGGGACAGATTTGTGAAATTAAACACTTAAGAATAGGAAACTAATAAAAGTGATCAATGTTAGGAATTACATGGAAAGAGGATTTTGTGTCAAACAGGATTAAAGTGTAGATGGCTTTGGGTTCATGTACAAAGAGATTTGTCGACAAGGCTAGACAAATAGAACCTGGAATTCAGTTGGAATTAACACTGGAGGAAGAAGGATATTTAGGACCCAGTTGGCAAAGAATTATTACAAATCATGGATCCAAATAATGTGTTTGTAGTTTGATTTATATTTTGTTCCAACATTATGAAGTTATCAGCAGTATTATAAAAATGGATTTTCATGTTTTCTGCAACAATTTAAATCCACTGAAATTAGTATTTGAGATCACAGATTATTTCAGGATTACATTTACTAGTATACTGTTGGATAAATTTTGTTTAACAGCTGAGAGGATTAACTAAATGCTGTTCTTTTGCCTAGTCAAACTTTCAATAATTTGCATACTTAACTGAAATTACTTGTGTAATATGCAAACTACATGATTATAAGGTGGCATTGTTTACTCCCTACGTGAGCCAGGAGGTCCAACTGTGGATTAGGAAATCATTTGAATTGTTTAATTGTGACAAAACATGGTCAGGCAGACTTAAACTTCATATTCCATTTTATTCAATGAATTTTAAAGGTGACCAGATGGTTAATAAGATGTTGCTCCCCCTACTGTGCAATGTGTGATCAACATATGCAAAGCACATGATTCCAGATTACTTGATGTGTGCAAAATGAGTTGATCTTTTCAGGGTGACAATGAAAACATCTCTTTTGGTCTTAAACTTTTATTGGTCGAGGAGCAGGCAAATCAACTGGAGATGAGACACTGTCATTTTATATTTTAGCATTTCTGTAATGCATGTAACATGCATCAAATAAAATTTAATGTTTGAACAACATATATTTTATACAATTGAAAATTCAGTTGAAATTATTCAATTAAATGGCACTACATTATACTGGACAGAAAAGACTGGATTTCCCCAAATTTTTTCCACCACCGGGACTGGCTGATGATGTGACTTCCATCAGATTTCCCAAGCAAACCTTCATTAAAGATTCAAGGCAAGCTCCCTGAGCACTCCATCCCCTTAACTCTATAATTTTATGTATGATTGTGTTCTGTTCTAAGAGATGCACACAGCTGGCATCTTGTAAAGCGGAACTAGCTAGATCTTTACCCTCCCTCATGATGTATGAAGATTCTGGGTAGAAAGCTGCCACTAGCCTCTCCTCGCACACATCTAAAGTTTAGTGATAGAAAATGGTAAAGGACGACCATGTGGAGATCTCTGCAGAAATGGCATATTCTTGAGCAACAAAAAATCATTACATAGTAAAATAGCATATATATAATAGGGTAAGATTAGGTAACCACATTAACATTAGCTAAGAGACATTGTTATCTTCTATGAGATAGTGGTTAGATCTAAAGCACATGATTACAGACAACTGAAGCCTAACTGGCTCCACTCGGAGATGGTCACTTCTATCAATGCGTGCAGCTATTCCAGAGCTTCTGAGTTAACTCTTTCAAGCCAACTTCTTTATGCAGAATTCTTGCCCCCCACCCCCAATCATTTTCCTCCTGGTTAATCTGCTGTACTGTTGATTTAGCAAGTATATAAATTTTATGACTATCTCTTCTCACCCCAGGTCTCTGACTTTACAAATTCTTCTTGACTTGGATGAATCAGTGGTCATTTGCTTGAGGCTGATCAATTCAGATGTTGTTCTGTCATTTTGTGCCAAGAGGCAGCTCTTCTTTCTAGTGAACATCTTTTACTCAAAATGTTTGGTGTTGGCATTGCTGGATTGTTGTCCTGTTGGGAGAATCTTTAATTTCCTCAAAATATGTAATTGAAGACAATCCAATATATGAAAGAAATCGTTTTCTTTTGACTTTTTCACAAGGTAAATTTAAGTGAAGATCTGTGATGCCTGCTTTTTTTAGCCAAATTCATCATTTTGTATGGGTTTTTTTATGGCCAGTGGCACTGGGTGTGCAGCACTGTCACACTCAGAGCAGTTGGCTTTGTTGGGCTGATTGCACTAGGGATTCATTAAGACTTCAGATGACGGTTCTACCAGAGTTTTCTGAAAGTCAAGCAACGAAGATCTTCTCGTTGAGGAACAAGTCAACTGCTCTTTCAGTCCAATGAAATCGGTCACTTTTTTCGATGTCGATAATACGAAACAGTTGTTTAATGACAACATACGTGTTCTGAGTCGCTGTATGTTTCTTTCGGGTAGCTATATGCTTCTTTCTGGATTCGACCAGCATTCTTCTGAGAACGTTGCATCATATACAAACCTTTACCAAAGTTCGTTTCCTTTTTGTATGTAGTACTCCAACACCTATAAAAATGTGGTTCTAAGCCGCCTTGGTTAATTGTAGCCTTTATTGGTATTCGTTACAATCTGTGCTATGTTTCCGTTGTATTTTTGTGACAGAAATAGAACATTGAAGTTCTCATTTAAGACATTTCTTATTGTTTAAAAATTACATTTGTATGGCGTGTTCGCATATTGCAACGTGCTGTACAACTACTGAAGTGCTTTTGAGTGCTTTGTAATGTATGAAATTATTTGGTGCTGTCAAAGCTGGGGCCATGAGCACAGATGGAATGAGAAAAGAATTATGAATAATGTATAGTCGAGAAGCGGGTCATCAGTTGAGCTGGTTTGTGCCAGTGCTTGAACATCGCAGGTACCTCCTCTCGCCCTTTTTCATTAATATTCCCATTGAAGAATAAGCAAAACCTAGATTTAATTTTAAGAGCTGAGTTTATAGGAGTACAGAAAGGGAATTGAAAATGTCAGTACGCGATATTTAAATAGTGCATCTAGGAAACCTGGCTCCAAATATTCAGTGGTAATTTGAGAACAATTGTGGACTATTGGAGATAATACTGAGATCCGACCAACTGCTAAGGAAGTTCAGGAGTCCTCGGAATAAATGGATATTCGATTTGAACCTCTCTGAACCTTTTCAGTATTTTTCAGCTTTGATCCAATGTTAATTCAATACGCCTGACGCTTTTTATTTGAGCGTAATTTCCCAGATATCGGCGTACCCGGTGCTGTACTGTTCTATGTTCTATGTACCCGGCGCAAACAACCGCGAAACTTTGAAGCGCAAATTGCATTCAGCGCAACTAGGTTGTGATGTTTTGCGCCAGGTACCAATAGTCTGTACTTCGGCTCATGTGTGATGATAGGCCGCTGAGGTGGGGTCAGCAACACCCCATCAGACTCTGCTCCTGGTGTGACAGACTATGGGGGGGAGGGGTCATTTCTGTTGAACGACCACTAAACCTTCATGTTTTCTAACCGTCTGTCTGCGTTGTAGATACATCTGTTACCAGGCAGCGTTGTAAAACAGTTCAGCTGACACTAGCGCTCTTATTTCATAATCGCTACACGGAAGAAGCCTGTCACAACTCTATGTTTACAATCCAATTCCTCGTCCATCCCAACACTGGACTTGGCTGGATACGCCCCTTTTAAAGGCCGGGGAGGGAAGTGCTATCTTAACCTTTTAATTCTGTGATGCTGAGTGAATTGGAAATGGGAGTCTGCTGGGCTAGGCAAGTAATGAACATTTCAGGTCCTATGCTCGACTGAGTGGTCTCTCAAGTGCGCATTAGTTTTAGTTTAATTTCATTGCCTGCGTATCTGAAATGTCAATTGCATTTAACATTTGTAACATTTCGTGCGGTCATAAAGATCTGCCTTTCTAAAAAGAAGCAGGAAAGCATTATTGCCTAGAACACCCCTCGGAATCCGGTTGAGACCGGGAGTGTTTTATTTGGCCGTCATTAAAGGTGGCATTCGCCTTTAAGAGCGGCTGAAAGGCGGGGCGCGGAGCAGAGCTCCTCGAAACAACAAGCTCTGCTCACTACTTCCTATATGAGCCCGGCAGCTGGAGCAGCCGCTGCGGGGTTTGCAGTGACTGTTGGAGCTTGCGGTTACAATTTACCGCAATATCTGCTGGCTCCCCTTTGCAGGTCAGCGCGAAACTTAAGGGGCAATTCGTTCGCCTCTCACTGAATGTGACTGCACGGTGTCCTTGGAAGACTAGCATTGGGCAGAATGAGCGGAGGAGAGGTCGTTTGCTGCGGCTGGTTGAGAAAATCTCCACCAGAAAAGAAGCTGAGGCGATATGTAAGTAAGAATGGTGCATTGTCATAGGTTTCTAAAACACCAGTGGCAGTTTCAAAACACCAATTCTTCAGTGGCAGGTGTCCTCGCCCTTCTAATGTGTAGAGAATGGCAGCGATCAACCAACTTTAATAAAGCCTTTTAATTTCTGCCGCAATGGTATCTCGGAGAGAGCTGCATACTGTTAACAGCAGAAAACACAACTTGCGTTTATTTTAGATCCTAAGCAAAACGTGAATTAGCTTTTATATATAAACAATTAGAAACAGATGCAAGTCGAATTTTCTTTTTACGAATTGCAATTTCACGAAAGTAAACATTATGAAAACAATTACATTGGTACTGGTTTGTCAAATTTCATTGAAGGGTGTTATTATATTAAAATTCCTTGACGTCTCTAACGTGGGCTTGGAGTCCACTGATAATTGGGACCATGTCAACGTTGTTCCATAGGGGCAATATTTTATCTGGCGTTGAATGTGACGATACAGCTGGAAGGTAGGGCGTTTTTAGTTTAGATGCTTGAAGCCTCCAGTTGATGCCGATCTCTGATATGCGGGGTATTGATGGTCTCTTCCTGGAATCATTACAGTGAAATTAAAACTGATACTTGTCGCTAGATTCGTTTCAGAACTCTCGCACTTGTAAACTCAAGGAACTCAGGAAATTAGAAGGATATTGTTCTGACGTTAATTTTCATTTGGTTCATTTCAAAGTAATATTGCTAACGCCTGTGCCATGGCGACAGTTTATTTCTGCATCTGGGTTATATTAAATATCTTGTAATTCTTCCACTGTTTCATCCTGATGTTAGGATTTGTTGGGGTTGCAGTTTATTTATTTTGTTTTTGATCCTGTCTCCCACGCCAGTACTTCCTAGATGCATTGCTTTTTTTGCGTAATGTGACCTCATGCCTAACCTTCAACTTTGTTTTGGCGCTTCTACATCCCCCGCTCCACGGAATTCTAGTGGATATTATCAGCTCCACTCGCCACCCTCCTTTGTCCCAACGACAGTCTTTCTTTATATGTGTGTAACTCCAACACTATGCTGCTTCCGTGGCCAGAATGAAAGCGAAGGCTGACGTCAAATGCACCACTTGAAACCCTCTCCATGTTCGTATCGGATTTCAAATAAATGTGCAGATACTGAATGTGGACTATTTCAAAACGATCATGATTTGGGCAGAGTTGTGGTGCTAAGCACTACGCACAGTGGCAGAATTTGGGTTTGAACCTCAGTGTGGTTACTGATCTGCCAGCTATTATGCACATCCAGCAGAATTTAGGCTATCTCCCCATGGGATCTGGTGCAAGACTGAAGGAGTCAACCAGGTTATTCTGGCATAACTGGTGATTATTTATAAAGCAACCTGGGCAGGGAAGTGACAGGAAGTCACTGACTTTTTGGAAGTGAGACCCCGTATGTTAGACCCTGAAATGGGACAAGAAGAGGTTCGGCCTTTGTCAAAGCTGGTCCGGGCAGGTGTAAACTGTAAACTTGGAATTGACATTGTGTGTGTGCATCAAAAGCTGCTCTGGGAAAAGTAAACAAATGCACCACATAACCTTTTACAGTCAGTATTTAAGCTATGCAATATAATAGCTCACTTGTTTTTTTTTCAGTTTCACAATATGTCTTTGAGTCTAAAGCAGTAGTTTGTTTGCAGCTTAATTCCCAGTAATAGAATTTTGCTACTCATCTGTTGTGACCTTGCATCATTGATATACCATT